TTTTCAAATGGTTTACTAACCCTGCAGAAAGTTACAATTTTTATACACATTTTAGAACTTCAGAGCTAAAATTTACATGGTTCTTAGATCATACTGTACTTCTTCTTTATGGAATAGCTTTTTCCTTAAAAGGTTAAAGAAAAAGTTTGCATCACAGAGTTAAAGAGTCAGACCTTACCAGTAAGTTTCAAACTTTGGTGCAATTTGTCCAAGAAGCTTGCAACTTGCAAGTCTACAATTAACTGATTGAGAGAGTTGACCCTTAGAGATGGCAATACCAAGGACCTGCAAATAAATTGATGCATTTGTAACTTAAAAACTAATTTGTTCTTTTCACTGTTTATTCATATAAGAAGCTGTCCTCTTCCAGAAAATATCAACCATAAAATTTCAGGAGCTCTTTCTGTTTCTCTACGACCATAAATTTTCATAATTAATGACCCTTGTTACTTTTCAGTTTGGCGGCTTTTTGTAACACTTGTTTTGAGGGTCAACTATCTTAAGAGAATAGTAACAACCATGAATCTTCATCATCATTCCTGGAATATTACAATTTAGTATGTTTTGATTTTTATGGTGCTTATTCCAAGGAAAGCTTCTGTGCCATCTTTCAATTTATTTGTAGAGTGAGGTGCCTTATTTATATGAAATAGACCCTGTGATGCACTTGCTTCATTTCTTGAAAGAGACACTGAACATAGTAATGCAGGTTTAAAAAAACCAAAGTATTATCAAAGGTGAAAGAGATTTTATTAATAAATAAGCATCTACCTCTCTTTTTATAACATCTTTTGGAAGGAAATCAATTGATGTCAGGAGGGTTTCAAGCCATGAATTTGCTACCACTGCAATAAAATGATTCATGTATGATTTCATGAGGGTCATAGTCATACATCAAGAGCAAAACTGTCAATAACAGCCAGTAGCTGACCAAAAGTACCAGCCAGTCAGTTACCTTAAGTAAGTTTCTCCCCCCCCCCTCAATTTACAATAGGTGCTAGTGAAAAAAATGTACATTGATTCAGCCACTATAGGAAAAATGTGTACCTGGTTACAAGTGAAATTGAATGAATACTTAACAAGTAACTTGTTTATATGTGTACATCAATTGCATGTTCAGAACTCTATCAAAGGTTTGTGTGAGCTTCCTGGAATACCTGAGACATTTTAATTGAATAGTCCCCCAGGTTCCTGTTCTTAGAATGCTCAAAACTTGGTGATTCCATTTTTTTTGACATAGGAGGGCGACCAAGCAATGTGCTGAGCTGTTGTTCAGTTCATTAAATCTTTAATTTTGCTATTTTCTCTTTGCTATCACCCTCATAGCTTCCTTACAAATTCTGATTGTAATCTGGAATGTTGATACTCCTTGATATTCACACTGCTTCACAATCCCTATTATACTGATACTTCAACAAGTGTTGTTGAAGTATCAATCTATTTCAAGCCCTTCTATACAATCAATAGATCACCAGCTCCTCTATAGACTAAGGTACTGCAAACTCCAACCTAGAGCACTAAGCATAGTTTACACAGAACCAAAGCACAACTGACTTAATGTTTGCACTCACCGTTGTCTCTGTTGTCAATATTGTGCAGTATGATTGGCAGAAATGAAGAAGAAAACATGTATGCTGGTATTGTTCCATTTTGAATGATGCTTGAAAAAGACTTGGTAGCTTCAAGCTGAACATGGAGGGGAGCAATGTACAGGTACTCCTGCAAAAGTATGGTAAACCCTTTACACCTTAACATCAGTATGAAGATTCTCCATACTGTCCTTTTACCTTTTCTTGTGGTACTGCTAAGGAGAAACTTTTTAATGATCACAAGCTTCATCAGTTGACTTGTGACCTTAATGTTTCATTTAGTTTTGGATTCCAGTCACTCTTGGGGGTGAAAGGATTGGTCTGTTTCCTCAAAATTAGAATTTGCTACAGATTTTGTGGTTGTAATAGGTCAAAATGGACAACAAAATGGTGTGAAAAATATGGGTCACTATCCTTATTTCTGTGGTACAACACATATGAATATGTTTGATTTTCACAAATCCAATTCTGAAAAAAATTGGGCTCTGTTTTTCAAATTTATATCTTTGATATCCTAGTCTCTTCAATATAAGGTTTTTTTTTCACCACATAAATGATCATGTGACTCACCCTAAGAACTGGTACCACTCTTCTGTTAACATCAGCACTGTTCTTCTCTAGAAGTTTGGGTAAGTTATTAATGACACTGAGCTTTTGAATTTCCACTCCAGAACTGTAAATAATAATAATGTTGTTTTTATTAGCAAGATTACTTCACCTAAACATAGTGAGCTGGATAGCCTCCCTTTTTAGTTTTGTTATTATGCATTATGTAACACAGTAACAATTACAATTGATAATATTGTACTCTCAACAAGTGTTTTTAAGTCAATTGATTTTGGAAAATTTATAGGAGAACATGAGGTGTAAACTGAATTTCATATTATTGGTAGATTTACCTGAATGTTGAATGATTTTATTTTTTTTAAAATTCTGATAGACCAGTTTGTGTATTACAAGATTCTAATTGACTAACATCCATATTCAATATCAGGGAATTTCCTGTAATCATTGTAGTTTTCCATGCTACGCACAATGCATGCATGTGGAGTAGCATGACAAGGCAATTTTGTGAACTAATTAAATATGTGTAATAACAACCAAAAAACATGTCAACTGTGTGTGTAATCTTCAGGGCCTTTATAGATCCCTCAAGCCGACAAATCAACAAAGCACATGCATCTAATTATAAAACCACACTTCAAGGAACAAAGAGCTGATATATGAGGAGAGATACGGGGTCAAGTTAAGAACAATGATAGAACTTCCTGCTTAGGATGTCTGTGTAGTATTTATTCATATTTTCCACGGGAGATCATGAAAATTTCAACACTTATTGATTGTGTAAGAGGCAATTTTAACAGGAACCACCAAATAACACAATAACACATTCAAGATATTGTGCAAAGATTCACCTGGTCCAAAATAACAACAAATTCAAAAACATGCCCAGATATTGGGTTAGATAAAATTCTATCCTGGATTGTCGTGATCATCCAGAGATAGAGGCTTTATAAAAATATTAATAGGATTCATGTGAGAAGATTTAAAAGTTTTCTTGATTAAATACATGCATGAAAAGTTTATTTTAATTCAAAAGCAAGTTTTAATGACCAGGAGAGACAACACAAACAGTCCATCAGTGGATCTACAATATTAATACCACACGCAAGTGACAAAATATAAATTACTAGTGTACAATATTTGCTAGAAGTCACAATATCTAGGACAGGCAGAAGAGTAGGCTTTGCAAAACATTGTTTCCTTTCCTTTAGATGAAATTTCAAGATATTTGGTGCAATTCACATTTCCATCAGCTTCCAAAAAGTCATCTGCTACACGTGAAAAACACATTTTGACCTGACCTCTTTCAAATTTTACTTCATCTAGTTTCGATTACGCCACATATTTTTCAAGGACGTTGCTGAATTCTTAACAGCACAAATCCACACTTCTCCCTTGTCCAAGTATTTAAAAAGTTCAGATTATAAGTTACTCTACGAAACTAATGGACTTTAAAATGCAGTAAACGTAAGCGCGACAAAGGCCATAGAGAACTGAAATGTTCATTTGAATCGCAACATGCAAACAGTCAAATAAATTTGCCTCTTCAAAAGTCACACAAACTTTTCAGACATGTTTGCTGACGGCTAATACTAGCCTTTCTTAGTGTACACACACCCTCAGACAAAACGTACACCGCAGTCTAAATCCATTATTAATTTCCAAGCTATTTAATGGTTTGTGAACTTTATGGTCCACTTGTGATTCATCGAAAATAAAGTTAATAATACCTGCCATCTCACCGCTCGTTTGAAATCACATTAGCGCACATTGGCCTTTGCCAACGCCACGTTTTTGTGCTCTGACGGTAGCACTTGAAAAAGTAACTAAATTAAGCTCAGCTTTCGAATTCAAGGAAGGCATTAATCCATCTAAAAGAAACCATGATTCAACAAACAAAATAAAAATTGCCATTGTTATAATTAAACCAAGCGAAATGAGCAAACATGCTTATTAGACGTGACGGAAACGAGTGAAATTTACACATAATTCCGTGATCAATTTCACGAACGGTTCGAGATGTTCTTGAACGCAGAATGTTCAGAACTTCAGGCATTTTTGAGCGATGATTAATTTCCAAATTATGAGCGTTAAGTATGTGATTTGAGGTTTCTATTCAGCTCACCTTAATAGTAACACGGCCCGCTCAATGTCATCAAGACTCTCGTCAACAGTCAGTCTTTCGATTTCTTCTTGAGACTGCGGTAAAATGAGAACATTTTCCAAGATCGTTAGTGATAATTGAACAGTACGAGCCTATATCATATCTCTCTGTTCAAAAATAAATGCAATATTGACCTTGAGTCCTCGTATGGAACGCTCGGAGCGTAGCTCTTCTACGTCTTCCTCTCCCAGGGGCCCACCAACGAACGATCCCAGGCTCGACATATCAGGACTGATAGCGAAGGCAGTTTGTCCAGTTCATGCTGGAGTGCCTCGCAACTCCACAAAATAAGCCTCTATGTCTCGTTGACAATCATTTTCGAGTACAAAAATCCTCTAAATTGCTCAGTTAATCCATCTGTTTTCAGAAATCATTGACGGATCTTTGGAGTAAACTTATCACATTTGTAGTGTAACTCCCGTGGTCCCACACGGGCGCATCTTATGCGGTGTTCCTAGCAACGATCATTCATCGATTTCCGACCCAGAATAAATATTCTATTTTACAGTCAGTTTTACTCAAAAAATACATCCAATATGGATTTTAAAGCTAATTTATTTGTTTTAAGGAAGTATTCATGTATCGAGAGAATTTTAGCCAGAAAACGGAGATTTGAAAAGTAAGAGTCTGGGAATAATTATTCGATAAATGATCGATTATCATTAGTCAGCGGTTCTTCCAATATGGCCGCTAGGATTGCGCAAAATTGTAGACTTTTGAAATTTCGTTCTTTGGCAAACTTGAAAGTTAGAAATTTCTCTAAGGTAAGTATAGAGACAATGAAGGACTGTCTTCGGCGTCAGCCAAATGATGTATTGATAATTCTGAATAGTTTATCCGCGATTTGATCCGAGAAGGGAAGTCCCTGGAGATGAATATTGCTCAATAAACAGATCGAACTTTTCTTCAAAAGAGCAATTTATTGAATTAAAATTGTTCCTCTAAATAATCAAATTTTTTTAGTTGACTCACCTTGCATGAATTTGGGAAAAATATCAACTTAATAACTAAAACATTGAAGTGAACGGACAATGAAATTAGGAGCCGATTTTAGAGTAAAATGGAGAATTACAATCAAAATGAGGGGATGTATTTTTTGCAACTATACATTGCAGCATTGAGTGATTCTTTGATTCTTACTTAACTCCAACATGCATGTAATCTTCCACTGAGTGTCCCATGCCAGGACAATTCAAGTTGGAGAGGAGGAGGGGGAGGGGGGTAGGGTAGGGAGGTAATTCTTATTCCTGGCTACACAGTGTGAATGCACTAAGGATACACTTTTTATGTTCTGTTTGAATTTCAGTCCATTACAGGGTTCTCCAAGTATTTTTTAAGATTTTTCCAATAATTTGCACCCATTTATACTCTGCTCTTGGATAGAGGGGGATGTTAAGAAAATAAAATGACTTAGCCCTTAAATTAGGTCATGTTGAAAACCATAATGTGAATGATTGAGTTTGTAATGTTAATTGTCCACCCTAGTGAGTTTCTAAAGCTGATGTTTCAAGTGTTAACCCTTCATCAGCACTACAGTTTTTCAGAAACTCACCCTCTTTATTCCCTCATTCTTTTATCACTGTGACAACTCAACTCTGGCCATTTGCTCTGACGAAGGCTAAATCTTGAAACATCAGCTTTAGAAACTCTGTTGATTAAACCAAATTATCTTGTAATACCTATCACTGATGCAATACCACAGCTCAGCACTCCAAGTTGTGACCATTTTGGTCACCATGGTAGGTAGAAAATATGTTTGGCAACTAAAATTTTGGCACAAATCACCAATCAGCAACCAACAGATTTGAAAAGGAAGAAATTTGAAAAATCTGTTAATGTTTGGTCAAATTATCAAATATACAATTGCCATCTTAAGAAAATTTTTTTGTGACCAAATTGTTTTCTAAGGTGGCCATTCACCTAAAGGCTTTTTTTTTAAAAAAAAAGAACTTGGAGCCCTCCAACTTTTTTAGAAACCTACCCCTTTGTTCATGACATGAATGCATTGTCTACGTCATTGTGATCTCATGGAAGGTAAAGGGATGATCAACAAACAATTTTTGGGTTTTATAATCAATTTACTTATTAAATTATCCTTGAAATAAATATAACACAAATTTTATAGCTTTTTCATAATTTTTTTTTTTTTAAAGGAGTTACGCCATGGCTTTATTGGAATGGTTGGCAAGTAAGCCTGAAATAAACTTGTTTTCCAGTTTTATTTATACAGCTTTAAAACATTATTTTATTGAAGCTCATTGCTAAATTTTTTTCTTTGCTGGTAGCACTCCTCTGATAAGATTTAACAAGCTCAGTGAGAAAACAGGTGAGCATTAAAATAAATTATATAATTTGTCTGCTTAATTTCTTCTCAGAAAAATGGATGCTCATCTCAAGGATTGTTGTTGTAATCTCTGGGATGGGAGAGGAGGGGGAGCGGAGATGTTGCATGGTGTCCAATATTTGAGAAAAAAAATTGTGTAGAAAAAGTGCAGTGGGAAAGTTTGGGATGTTTGCTGGATATTTCCCAAGAAAAAGTAGAATACTGGGTACAGGAAGGTTCGCTTCTCTATGGTTTTGCCGTTACTCTTATTTCTAATGCTTTTTAACCTTCCTCACCTTAACTTAAGTATGCATATTCCCCACACTGTCCTCTGTACTTTTCCTGAGGTTCTGACAAGGAGAATTTGTGTAACAATCAAGAGCTTTTTCAGTTGGTGGTTGTTTTCTTTATTCTTGCAACATCCATGTTTGTTCAGTGCTGATTTTGTAAGGAGAAATTAGATGCTAGTCAGTCTTAATGCCAAAGGGTTTTTCTGATTTGTTGTTCAGGATGTGATATCACTGCTAAAGCTGAACAACTCAACCCTGGTGGCTCTGTGAAAGATCGCGCTGCACTGTACCTTATTAAAGAAGCAGAGGAAAAAGGTTTGTATTTCCTCTTGTCAACATTTTCATCATAATGGGGGCTAATTCTTACACGCCTAGTGATTCATCACTGCAACTGGAGTTCCGTCAGTTTCCTTTAACATGAAGAAGCCTTAAGACTCTTCTGGGATGGAATGCTGGCCAGTGACAGTTCCCCCCTCCGCTGGCATTTTTTTAGGTTGCTGTGATAGTTTGTCGGATGGGTATTCCATATTTACCCTTGGGTTGAAAGAAGCATTTTGAGAGAAAAGTGCCCCTCCTCCCCAAAAAAAAAAAAAAAAAAAAACTGTCTCAATGGCCCTAGTGGTTGCAACAGTTCAAATCCACAAATCACGCCAGTATAAGGATCTGTGGATTTGTTTTAGGCCTTATTAACCCTTTACACTCCATAATTGGAGTTCATATTCTCCATTCTGTTCTCTTAACATTTCCTATAGTACTGACAAGGAGAATTTGTTTGACAATAAGGAGCTTCTTAAATGAGCGATCATTTGTTTTATTTTCATGACCTATACTTTTTATTCAAGGGTATAATGTAGGGAGAAATAAGAGGCTAGTCACTCTTTGGTGTTAAAGAGTTAATGGCTGTGATTTTTCTGTTCAACAATGATAAGTTCAGGAATACTTTTTTCTGGTTGTACAGCTAGTTGCTTGGGAAGTTTGGGAACCAGGTAGGCTACCAGAATCTGAAAATTTTCATTATTTTCTATTTGTCTCTAGGTTTGATAAGACCTGGTGGAACTGTAGTCGAAGGAACAGCTGGAAATACAGGTTTGTATGAAATTATCAATTGTTTTGATTTGCTGTGTTATGATTATCTTGTGAAAGAGTGCAATAAGTTATTGTGTCAGAGTAATCATTGGGTTTATTTTAGGTATAGGACTTGCACACATCTGTCTTGCCAAGGGTTACAAGTGTGTTATTTACATGCCAAATACACAGTCACAGGTGGGTGTCAACAGAGCTTTGTTTTAGTTATGAATACCTGGGCATATTAATCCTTTAATTCCATGATATTTTTCTTCACTTGTCTGTTGGATATTTTATGAATATTGAAAGAAGAAATTCTTTCATGGCTACACTTGGGAGTTAAGGTTTAAGAAATTGTCGTGATGATTATCCTTCATTGTTGGAATTCAAAAGTATCCTTTTTACTAGGAAATGACTCATGGTATTATGAAGAGCTAATTTTAGCTGAGAATTGCTTTTATTATTTTAACATTCACTTTTTTCTATCTGCCATTGGGAATTTGTACATTAAAACAAAAATATTTGCATTTTTTTTAAGGAAAAGATAGATGTATTAAAGACATTAGGTGCTGATGTACATCCCGTGCCTGCTGTTCCATTTGATGACCCTATGAACTACAACCATCAGGTGATCATTTCTCCTTATCAAACAATTATTCCACAAGCGCACATTGGATATGTGATGATAAATAACCAACAAGGCCTGTAAGGCTGAGTTGGCTCTAATCATCCCATATCCAACAGGCATGAGTGGATAAATGTTTTATCAAAAAATGCCCCAAAATATTATTAGATAAATATTTTCAACTTAATTTTGTAAGAACATATTATTAAAGCATGATATAATGGCTCATAATCCATGATGGCTAAGCCAATGAAAACTCTAGAATTGCATTATCCAGTTTTAAATAATAGCTTTTACATACCATATAACTGTTGTCTATTTGAGAGTAGATGGCGGTGGGATGGGAAAATATTTGGGTCTTGCTCATAGCTTAGGGTCTGAGGACAGCAAAGTCTGCCTGTCATAACTGGGAGCAAAATATTTTACAATCTAACCTAACTTAACCTGGTCCATAACATTTTATCATTTAATCCTCGCTCTTTTTTTTTCCTTTCTTTTAGCTTGCATCTTCTCTAGGCAATATAGCTTTATCCCTCCCTGTCATGCCGTTGCATAGAGTCCTTGTATAAGGGGAATTTTTGCCTAATGTTTTTCAATAAGAGAATATGCACTGGGCTTTATGGGTCCCACAAAAAAGGCTTGTTTGAAACCCAAGTAGCAGGGTAATGAAAACTTACTGAATAAATGCACATGACAAGTCTTAGAATGCATGTTAGAAATTTTTAACATGAATTTGCCAAGAGAACCACTTGGAGTATGGCTTTAGCTCTGTTTTGTCTGCTAGACATGTAACCCAAGTGAGATGAGAAACACCTTTGACATTTAAAGGAATGCAATTGTTAATATTGCAGTGAAGAACTAGAGGTTAGAGACTTTTCCTTACTTTTATTTTCTGATTTTCAGGCCAGACGATTTGCTGAAAGCATTGACAATGCTGTATGGACAAACCAGGTAATTCTAAATGAGACCACAGTCAATCAAAGTCGGGATGTTGATGAACAGAAGGACATCTCTTCATTCTGTCCAATTTTGGACACTAGTATCCCATTGTAGACAAAACCAGACTCTAGAGTATAAAATCAGACACTAGCATCTCAAATTGGACAACAGTGTCTAATATCTGGCGCTAATGACCAAAATTGGACACTTTTGCCACAAATTGGTTTTAGACATCAGTGACAAGTTTTGGATGATATTTCAGACTCTATTGTCCAATTTTAGACACTATAGTGTGCGATTTTAGACTTAGCTGTCTGATTTTGAACTCTTATACTAATTTTAGACACCAGTGTCTGATTTTGGTTTCTATATGTGTCAGATTTTAGATATTAGTGTCTAAAATTGGTCACTAGTGTCTAAAATCTAACACTTGTTATGTCCAAAATCAGCACTAGTGTCTAAAATCTGACAAAAGCATCCAAAACTGCACTTTAGTGTGTAAAACCACACACTTGTGTCAGAATTTGGTTACTTGCATATTAGATTAGACACTAGTGTTGAAAGTTGGACGCAAATGTCTAAAATGGGACTGTGGCGTCTAGAATCAAACACTAGTTTCTTTTCAGTCACTTTTGTCTTATTGGACAATATTATAATATCTCTTGCCTAAATTTATCTATCTTGTTTTTCCCTTCGAGGAAAGCTTGAGTTTTTTGAGCCTTGGTGGTTTTTTTTAATTTGGTTTTATTTTTCATTTACACATCATAATTACCATAATTAATAGATTATTTTATATGATCTAAACATCTGGTGCAAAATAAAGTAAAGAAATGATATTTGTCAATATTTATTTAGTTTGACAACATATCAAATAGAAGAGCTCATTTTGAGATGACGGGGCCAGAAATTTGGAATCAAACTGATGGAAAGATAGATGCTGTTACGTTTTCCACTGGAACTGGTGGCACTTTAGCAGGTGATGATACATCATTTCTTCTTATACAAAGCAGTAGTGGTTTGAACCCAGACGTAACTGTTGACTGTGCAGTCTAAGTTCAGGTGGAAGTAGCTTTGTAAAGATCTGTTGTTTTTTGGGGTGACTGACATTTTGACAATCAGAGCCCATAATAACTTACCACCTGGTTGTTGAAACATCAGTCATTTCTACCAACAACAATCATTTTCAGTACTATTCTTACCCAGACTGCAATGGGAGATGTGGTGGGTGAATGGTTGGTGCACTGGGGTCTGGGTTGAGAGGTCTGGGTTCTAGACCTGGTTGGGTCATTGTGTTGTGTTCTTGGGCAAAACACTTCACCTTCGCATTTCCTATTCTAACCCAGGAGTATATATGTGTATCTGTGGATTGTCAGGGAGGCTTGATGAATTGCTGGGGTAACCTTGTGTTGGTGTGGCTTCCCATCCAGTGGGGATTAATCACACTTCACCTCCACATTTCCTCTTCCCACCCAGGAGTATATATGTGTATCTGCGGATTGTCAGGGAGCTTGATGAACTGCTGGGGTAACCTTGTGTTGGTGTGGCTTCCCATCCAGTGGGAATTAGTCATATACCCAGTCACTTTGTAGAAAGGAAAGCAGGATAGGCTCTGGCTGGGTGGGTTCATATCTTACCTTACCAAGACATCAGCTAAGACTTCATGATCCACTCCTCTTTCTAAAATTTGGTTTTTGAAGTTGCTGAAGTTATTGTTGGTTGTGAGAACCACATCCGAAGGTATCACATGAAGTAATGTTTCTTTTTTTTCTTTAATACTAGGTGTAGGAACATATCTTAAATCAAAGAACCCAAATGTCAAAGTTGTTTTAGCTGATCCTGAGGTAACCTCTCACAAAGTAATATTCCATCTTGTTCCACTATTAGCATGAAAACCAGTGGAGGAGAAATTCAAAAGTATGGTGCTATCTGTGCTCCTCTATAATTTCTAATCCCTTTCATGTGTCACTTTTGACAAAAACGTAACCTCATGTTCTGAAACAAGCATGTTAACTAAGAAAAGAGAGGCGGAAAAGGCATTCTGGTTAATACCTTAGTGACATTAGGCTAACTTTCCTCTTGTATAATCTATAATGTATTTAAATGGAGTAGCTATTTGACACCTCGAACCTTACAAAAAAATGACCTCACCCCACTCCCCCTTGGCGAGAAAAAAATCTTCATATAGTTAACAGTCCGGGATAGTTATCATATTAGATAACCACGTGACATCATAACATGGCGACCATTTCGGATATCGAGGATTTTTGTACCCAATTCGAAATGCTCGTTGTTTATTCGTTATTACCCGCCGTATATACCAATAATTTTATCGGAAATTAGGGAATAAAAACTAATCTTTGCGTGTACTTCGTGGTTTACCATGAGTTTTTTTCCCATGCATATGACATTTTCCCTTCTTTATGCAAACAGGGTAGTGTACTGTACAATTACATCAAAACTGGCGAGTTAAAAAGAAGTGATGGAAGTTCTATCACCGAAGGTAACAGAATTCGTTCTTTTCTTTTGAAATAAACATTAATCCAGTTTTTTAGGTAGCTGTTACGATTTATGTGACGTGGCAAATTTTTCCGAAAAACCCTGTCACTGTGACAGACTTCTCATCCCTTTAGAACGGGGGAACTGATGCAATGGAACGAAACTTCTATAAAAACTTGTTACTCCATAAGGATGAGACGCTTTTTCACCGGAACTTAAGCCCCGACCACACTTATCTGTTTTAAGAGTCGGCTTTGATCTCAACCGAAATGACTACAAAAGGTTTTTGCCCACACACTCCACGTTTTCAAGCCCCTTAGCTATAGGAATATGATAACTTATCATTTAGAGGAGATGTAATCTCATAGAAAATGATTTTGTATCTGTTTGTATTTTGTTTTTATCTGTTTGTTGTCATATGTTGAAATTTTTCCCCAGGAATTGGACAGGGGCGTGTAACAAGCAATTTAAATGGGGCTCCAATCGATGATGCTGTGTTTGTGTCTGATAAAGAAGCAGTAGAGATGGTTAGACAACTTGATTGGTTTATATCTTGATTTACACAGATTACACCTTTGTTCATTAATTTTTACCAAGTAGCTGAGATACTCGACGCGTTCTGATGTGTCCAAAATCTCCCGTTTATCCTACCGATAGACTCATTGCCATCTTAATTAACGATTAGATTATGAGCTCGAGAGTTCTATCACGAGTTCTATCATACCAATCGAGAGCAAATAACCTAATTGTTGAAGTATTAATCTATAAGTCGCTTAAAACTTATCAGTAAGAAATGCTCATATTTGTATCTTATTTTGTTTACAACCACGCAATATTTTGCTTCCCACTTAACTCATGATCTATCATGGAATCGATAGTGAAGTAGCATTTGCCATATGTTGATAGATTTATACTTAAAAAAAGGACTGGAGTTCGTTTTCTATCGGGTTATCGGCGTAATAACCCACTTGGAATGTTGGTAAAATACTCAGTAATTTATTTCGTATATCATTGAGTCAGTGAGTTACTTAGTGAGTGATTGAGTGACTGGGTAAGTTAGGTAGTCAGTCAGTCGGTCGGTCAGTCAGTCTGTCAGTCAATCAGTCAGTCAGTGAGCCGGTCAGTCAGTCGGTCAGTCAGTCAGTCAATCTGTCAATCAGTCACACAGTCATTTAATCAGTCAGTCAGTCAGCCAGTCAGCCAGCCAGTCAGACATTCAGTGAGTTAATCAATTGCTCTGACGAAGGGCTAACGCTCGAAACGTCAGCTTTTTTACCCTTTACGGTGGTCAATTTACGTTTTCAACTCAGTTGTTAACACTAAATTACCTGCTATACTCTCCCACCGACGCAGCACCAAAGTTTCTTTAGAAACTTACCTCCTTTATTCAGTAAGTTAGTCAGTGAGCCAGTCGTTTAGTCACTTCGTCAGAGTCATTCAATGAGTTATCGAGCCTTCCACTTAACGAATAAAGGGGGCAAGTTTAAACTGTGGTGCTGCGTCGGTGGGGTATTACAAGATAGTTTAGATTTATCAATTGATTTGAATTGGCCACCTAGAGAAATTCTCAAGCTGACGTTTCGAGTGTCAGCCCTTCGGCTCAGTAACACTCTTAACGTCCGTTGTAGAATCTAGTAACAGTGGCCAAGTAATATCATCAATCCTGTTGATAAAACTAGAAAAGTCTTTCACCTGGTCATGAAGCACTTTTCAACCTTTTTCTTCAGACCTTTTATTTACTTCACGAAGAAGGCTTCTTTGTGGGCGCCTCGTCTGGTTTAAACGTTGCTGCAGCCGTGAAGGTAAATTGACTTTTCATCCTTTCTACCTTATCATAGAATGTAAATCGTCTTCGTTGGAAGAAATAGCTGTGTTGACTGTTTCTGCAAGCTTAAATCAGTGAATTTGCCCAGGGTGTATTAATTATAATAATAATAATAATAATTATAATAGTAATGATACTAATGATAATAAAGGATTTATTTATACACGATAAAAATACAGCTTAGCTGCTGTGGTCGTGTCATGTTTACCTCAGATATGGTCGGATAAAGCCCGAACGGTGTCGAGAGTAGCCCGACGGAACGAGCGGCGAAACCGCCAGAGAGAGTTGTTAGGGGCACAACACAATTAGCAACAATCAGGAGGGCTCCTGCACTAATCCAGTTTTAGCTTTCATGGCAACGTATAGGTTTTTTCTGCCTCTTACTTAGGATTAGTATCAGTTGGGTGTCGGGCCCATTTCCTCGGCCCGAGGAAATGGGCAAAAATAGAGGCTTCTCTGAGAATATAATCAATATTGTGACATAAAATCGCCCACCTTCGATAGTTAGAGTATTTGTTTGTTTTTATTCGGAAAGCATTCCACTTGAACTCAAATGAACTTACTGATGTCTTTTTGTTTCACAGGTCGCCGAGATGCTTGGTCCGGGCCACGTGATTACCACATGTCTGTGTGACACAGGGCAGGTACGTTCCAAGTCACGTGATTTTGTTCAACTTTAGTCACTGCCTTTTCTTACTAACAATATTTTATTTCCTTTTTTTTTGGCTCCCTACACCATGTAGAAATACTTCGCGCGTCTCTTTAGTAAAGACTGGATGGAGTCGAAAGGTAACTATATTTTTGAACTTTTCGCTTAGACCGCTGCGTCAAAAGTAGATAATTGGATGAAAGAATTTAAGCCCCATATCGGAATTAAGAACTTCTCGCGCTTTTCTGAAAAGCAACAAACGTTGATAAAGGATTGAAATAGTCTCTTTCTTATTTTTCCGCGCCCAAATGCTGGTTTACAATTAATACACAAATTTTTTCCACCTGCAGGTCTTTTAGATGTAATTCCTGAAAAGTATCGTCATTCCTTGCATTGATGACAACAGTAGAAGTATAATCTAGCTCATGAATGATTTTGACAATTTTCCCAGTGATCTACGCACATGTTGGAGAGCAGATGAAGTTTTTCCTTCATGTAACCCAACTGGTTTGTACCAGACATAGGAACCATTATATACCCCATTCACACCAGCAAGACACGTTTAGTTAAACCAAGTTGAACAGAATGAAAATCAGACACAGGTTACTGAAAAACTGAATTTTCCCATGGGTTCAAGTCATCACTGACTTGTATTTTCTATATGCTATAAAATCGGAAGTCGACAAACATCTGTCTAAACAGAGCTTAAAGCCAAGTTTGAGAAAACAGTTTTAAAACATGTTTAAGCTTTGGTGTGAATTGGGTATAACCCAGAATGCGTTGAAGCCAATTGACAAATAATTGGATCAACAACAACAACAACAAAAAATAGGAAGCAAACAAACAAACAAAAGAGGAAAGGAAATCAGAAACAAATGAGGACATTTGATGTCATGGTTTTGAAAAAGACCGATGATAAAGGATCAAGATCGCCTCTATTGTTTCGTAGGAATATGGGAATAATTTATTTTCAATGGCGCACTCACCAAATCCTCCCTCTCTCTCACATTCTCTTTCTTTACTAATGCACAATGTAAAAATGATTCAGGACGCTGTCAACTTTAATACGCATATCAGACTAGTATAATTTTAAATTCAGTTTTCGTCTCGGCAAGAATTAATTCAAAAGCGGAAGGGAAAGTGTTTTATTGTACATTGACCTGGCAAACAGCTTTCACTCAGGAGTCTTTAACGTTATAAAAATCCGATTTATAAGGTGACAGTGCCATACAAAAGGAATTACTAATGCTACATAAGTCCTGGTATTGATTTTTAAAGCATAAATACCTAAAGGAGACCTCAATTGAAATAACTAACTAGGTAGAGAAATTGTGCCAGAATTAACTAAATGCAAGTCCCAATTTACATGAAATTAAAAAACTTGCTGACAAAAAGATAAACACGAGAGTCTTTAAACTCTGCCGTAAATGTCGCCTCAAACTTTACGGCTCAAATATCTAGTACGTGAAGTCTTCATTAAGTTTAGTTTACAGTTATCTGACAGTCGCCGGCAAATTACGAAATACCTTCCTTTTCGCTAAGTTCAAGCTAACCCTTTCATCCATAACAGTGATTAGCATCTCATTTCTCCCAACATTACCACTCCCGAATCACACACTAAGGTAATGAGAATATAGGAAATGATCACCAACTGTAGAAGTTCTTGATCGTTAAACAAATTCTCCTTGTCAGCACGTTAGGAAATGTTTAGAGGCCATTATGGAGATTATGCATACGTATGTTAGGGTATTAAGGACAAAAAGAAGTGATGCTGACAGATAAAATCATAGGCATAAATGTCTCATCGATATAGTAATGGAAACCAGCCATTTCGTTGTGTAAAGCTTCAGTAATGACGGAAAAGCGGAACTGTGTTCTTACAGCTTTTACTGAATAGATCTCCGTCCACGAATTTTGTAGTCCACTACGTTCCTGCTGGCTTAATGATTGGTTGCTGAGGATAGCGACGCAGTTCAGTTAGTAAGGTCTGTAGCGGTAGTTGGAGAGCTGGTATGACTGGCGATGATCATGCTGTATAACAAAACAAACAAATGTTCGAAAGCGAAATTAGAGAAAATCACAAACGCATCAACCAATGATTGACTTTGTTCTAGCATAACTCATATAATGCCAGCTAAACCAGCGAAAATACTGACCCTGGCCGGGGCACCCCGGTACCGATTGTCTTGATTTTCCCGCGGGTCCCGTGGTGAGTTGTTATAATTACCGCGCGAGAAATGGGGCTGATTTGGCCCAGGTTCCCGATAAGAAGGCCGCATATGAGACCACGGCGTGGGTCTGTTTCCTTGGTAACCGCCTGAATTGTGACGCGGTGCCTGCTGCCTATAAGAGTTGTTTCGTCTTGGATCATTGTAATCACGTGATGATGGAGGAGTACCCAGAATGGATCTTGAATGAGGAGGATGACCATGTCTTGGGTAGTTCTGCGGTGGGACTGAGTATGACCTGAAGGGAGGAGCATGGCTGCCCGGTGTAGATAGACGAAAGACCTCACCTCCGTGAAAACTGAGACAACAAATACAAACACTTTATTCGATGGTTTAACATGATACGCGCGGATGTTTTGCCAGTTGCAAAACATTTTGAGGAGCAATACGCTCGTTTATGTGGAACAGACTCTGCTTGGTCGAAGGTGGGAAGTAGGGTGGTTCAGTGAATAAATAGATGTGAACTAGCAGGGAATCCTGACTAAACGCTGGAGGGGGGGGATGGGGGCAACTACGGTCTAGTATGGCGTAAAAGATGGTGTAACATTTAGTACTCCAAGTCGCTTTACGTCTCAGAAATCAGAGTAAGCCTGGACACTACTAAGTCACTAGGTAATTAACACTCGACCTTTCTATTTCGCTTAACCAAACCTCCAAAAAGATGAGTACTTGCTGAAATCAACTGAATTTCTTTGTATCGAACGTATTTTAATAATGAGAAGTATTCGCGATGTAAAGTCGTCACTCCATGCCACAAGCATGCCCTTGCTTTTGAGCGACACGCGCGTCGCAAGTCCCCTCGCAAAGAGGATAGTGCCTCTGTTGCACGTTGCGCGTTTTCTTCGCGCGCTACCCTATATCGGGTGCCTGAGTATCTGTTTATGCTAGGTCTCTCGGTTTTCTTATTAACGCCATCAGTTCACTTACTTGAGCATTCTTCTTCCAGCGCTGTCAATTTGAGCGAACGACGTCCTGTTAGGATTCATTCCTGTGACCGGCCGATATGGAGCATTTCTGTCATAACCCTCAGGCTTCAGAACACGGGCTGGAAGTCTGAGCATTAAAATGAACAATCAAAGGCGCTTCGACATTAGCTTAGTTTGACTTACATCATGTTTGTACTGAGTCCTGGTTGAGTTACAGGGGTGGGGGGAGGAAAGGAAGGTGTTTCTCAGAGTGAAGGGTCTGTTGACAACCCAACAAGGGAAGGGAAAGGAACGGTGAGGTATGTAGAAGAGGGATCCCCCAAGGGAACGGGAAAGGTTCGATTTTCGTCCAATTCTAGCATAAACGATTTTGGGACGTTTTGTCTCAGGAATTTCACGCTTATTTTCTTCGTAAGTAGAAAAACGTTTGACAAGGTTTTAATTTTTCAGAGTTGCATTTTGTTAATTGGGAGAGGGTTAACGTTTTCGGCTGCTAAGTATTAAAACTGACTTACTCTGCTTTGGGTAAAACATCTGCTTTGAAAATATGATCGTCATCGTAAACAGGATCCGTGAACAGGACACTGAAACCAGGAAGCATAGAATTTAATAGATAAATAATCATCACGACAAGTTTTATTTGTAGAACAATAATTACGATTTAGTGATCGACGATGAAGAGAAAGGTAGCTTTGACAAGGAGAGAGCCACAACGGAAACTTCCGACAAAGACCTTCCAACGAAGACCTTCCGACGAAGACCTTCCCACGAAGACCTTCCGACGAAGATTAAGGGAAAAGACAACAACGAAGATAACAAAGGAAAAGGCCGGGCGTCAAACACAAAGATTCATCGACGACCACGATAACGATGACGCGCCGCATACAAAAACCACTACTGCGATGACCGAAAACAATTAAAAAAAAAAAAAACAACGCTAACAAATACACTCTTGGGATGTATGTAATCATGTACCGTACGAAGAGATTCAGTGGCATAGACAGGAAAGGAGTGGGAAGGGCAAAATGCAACAGGATCATGGGAGGACGCCTTCTCTTCTAACAAACAGGATGTAAAATCAGTTTCCATAATCTCCATACTCTTTTATATACATCTCCTTTGGTACTGACAAGGAGAATTTGTTTAACAATCAAAGCTTCTTGGGTTGGTGATCATTTCCTTTATTCTCATGACCTTAATGTTTGATAATGGGGTGATACTGTGGGGAGAAATTAGATGCAATTCACTCTAGAGGGTTAAAGAGTAAACCGTAGGAGTATCTTACCTTATCGTTCGGTTGTCCCGTAAGTCGTAAAGTTGAGGTATGGGAGATGGAACAGTTCTGCAATAAGGTACAAGTATGATCGGGTAAATAAGCGTCCCCTAACAGTCGAGGATACGATGAAATAATTTAGTCTATTGATTCCACAATCAGTTTACATCAACCCCACGACTTTATTTGTTCGAATTCAAAGGAAACTACTCATTAAGCTACTTCATCTTAGTTATAGCTCTCCTATACGCTTCATATTTTTCAATTTTAGTGTTCGTGAACACAAACTTTGCAGAAAATCCAATCACCAGGGCAGGTAAGAGGCCAGGTTGCTGAGAGAGATTAAAAATGGTGGCACTCGTAATTAAATTTTAGGATTATTTAAAGACAATTTTTGAAAGGCTAGTTTACGCTCTGGAATCTCAAAACGCGGTCTATGTCATTATCTCAGGTATACGTTTTCATAGCGAAAGTAAAAATCGCGTGATATTTAGAGCACACATCTCCATCAGCAGTGTTACTCAGATGGTTACAGATCAGTCGTTCATTCTTACTTGTACGGTAAAATAGGAACATCGTCTGGTTCTACTTTTCCCGACATGCCACCACTCAGATTAGCCACGATTTCAACCGCCTGCAAAGACATGAGGAGACAACTTAAAACGTCTGATGAATAATGTGAAATTTCTTCTAAACGAAAAACCTCTGAATTATCTTTGGCGACTGTTCCTGGATCTCAAACAGTGGAGACGAGCGAAAAGAATGAGAACCCAAGAAATGGCGTTCCCGAAATAAGCGAGAGCGTTACAAAAATGCAATACGAGATACAGCCGTTTTTCTGACAGCTGTAACAGCTGCATCCCCTTGCTTGTCATTGTCTCCACTAATTCAGAGCCAAACACGGGTTGCTGTCGCTAGTGTCAGCTTAACACAGGATTTCAATTAACCCTTTACGCCCAAACATCACAATGCATATTATCCATACTGTTTTTATGCATTTCCTAAGGAGACCTTGTTTAACGAGCAAGTGGGTGATTATTTCCTCTGTTCTTGCGACCTTAACGTTTAATTAAGGGGCGATATTGTAAGGAGAAATTAGATACTAGTCACTCTTAAGGGTCACAGGGTGAATCGTTCACCCCATTAGATTGGATCGCTATGATCGCATAGTCAACAGTAGTGAAGTAGTGTTCCACTGTCATCAATCACTGGAATAATTCTGTAACTCCAACGAAAATTGAAAGGAAAAGAAAAAAAAAAATTCTACAGCCCGAATTATACCTCTTTGATGCCACCTCCTTCATATAAACCAACAAAGAAGTCAAAGATGGGATTTCCCTGGCGTAGAAACAAGCGATCTTTACCGCGATTGTTCCTTTGCACTGAAATAAATGAAAGCAAAGACATCCTTAGTTGGAAGCAGCAATGTAAGTGCACAACAACTCCTTAACATATACCACCGCCGGAGAATGACGCAAAACGTTTAGCTGTTAGTTTAGAAGAGCAGCTATGAGGTTGTTAACAAAGCGAGAAGTCATTGGCACTATTGATTGGCAGAGAAGTTCAGAACACCATACAGACGATGTACAAACGTTTCTTGGCAGATTATGAGATCTGATTAACCCTTTACATCCTAAGATCAGTATGCATATTCTCCATACTGTTCTCTATACATTTCCTAAGGTGCTGACAAGGAGAATTTGTTTAACAATCAAGAGCTTCTTTAGTTCATGATCATTTCCTTTATTCTCATGACCTTAATGTTAGTTTCAGGGATGATATTACAAGGAGAAATTAGATATTGATCTCTCTAAGGAGTTTAAAGATTAACGGAGGGAAATCAATAGAAAGATACGAAAAAAATGAGTCTGTTTTCCATCATAGTTATCAAGGATCGTCAAAAAATTATCGAATGATTGCAAGTCTTGGTGGTTGCGTTGAAAGTTTCCTCATACAAATACATGAGTATGCAGGCAAGTGCAAGTTACCATTTATGTAAGAAGGGATGAATCAAACTTACTCTCAAATTCTGTGAGATCTGGATATACTCCACTGAGAGCGCCGAGAAGTCTCTTCTCGTCAACAAACGGTAACAGGGCTACACCTTGAAAGAGAACAACGATAATAAGCATGTAAGGTCACAGTTTAGAGCGCTTTTCGATTGAGTGCTGTAAAATCAAAACCACAACAGCCAATCAAAGCGAAGCGAGAACTCAAAGTAAAACTAATAAAAATGCCTGAAGCGCGGGAAAACGCGGGTGACCGAGTCACGAGCGGTTCTAATTTTGCATCTGATTGGTTGAGCCTACTTTACCTTGCCATGCGTATTTCTTCCCGTTGAGATCGATTTCAAAATCCAGTGGGTAGAAATCAATGATCGGCGACTCCTGAAATGCGAATCAAAATGCGTTTCAGTCTCTTACTCCCCAGATCTTGTTATAAATTCTCCGCAATATTCTTCATACACTACGTTTCCCATAATCAAACTCCAGAATTGTCAGTGGAGAAAATAAGATTGCAATACAAACGATACTTACTGGGTGAGACATCAACTCTCCAGGTTGGAGGAAGAAAGTTTCCGCTGGCAGCTGGAAATACTCCCATCAGTTGCTCCAGAGGCTTAAACTGAAAAATAATAATAAAAATAACATATTAGAAACTACCTTTAGACTTCCTCAGTAATGTACCACACATTTTTCGGAGCGCATAATTTATGCGCGATAGCTGTGCGCACAATTAAGCACTGCAGCATAGTCTTAAAGCCGGAGCTTGTAGAAGAACAGAGTCATCATTTCACCAATAACAAAGACGTCGATCTAACAATTTATTCGCTTCTTCGCTCAAATAAAATACAAAGGAATTGTCAGTGCAAAATAGAAAAGAAGAATGTGAATTAAATAGCGCGACATTTAAACATAGAGCTCACGTCCAAGGGATTTACAGGGTAGATACAAGGAATAGCAACTCCAACCTCCCTCATCCTACAGTTTTATTCCTGAAAAGAGTTTTTAACTCGATGTTTTAAGTGGCGGAACGGGACCACAATGCAACATCGGCCCGAACACACACAACCACGTAAGTACACGCGCATATGCTCTCAAGTTTCTGAACGCACACAGGTACATGAGCGATTATGCGCACTTGTTATTTAAACACAGTGAAAGAAAATAAAACATTTTTTTCAGATTTCAATTCGGTTTTGTTCCATTAATTCTTACCGGTTGTGTTCCTTTTTCAAAAGAGTTTGGAAGTGATGCAAGGTCACGGAAATCTGAGGCGAAGGGAGCGTAATGATATGGATAAAACCACTTCCAAGACGGACAGCCCTGAAAAAAAAAAAAAAAAACGTAAAATAAATGATGAAACTTACCTTCAAGCGCTTTTCGATTGATTGTAATGAAACCAAATGTATAAAATCCATTTACGAAAAAAGAGAGTGTTCAAACTCCGTAAAAGATATATATTAAACTTGTTAAACGAACCACAACATTAGGCTAAAATAAAAACTCCGAAACTTCTTAAATTCCAAAACAAAGGGGTAACAAATTTACGCGACTGAAAGCTCAAAAACAACAGACCAAAAGTCCGCGAAAGCAAAAACAAAAGTGCGCGAAAAGTTTTCACGTCAGTTTTCCAATGTCAGGGTTAGGGTTCTTTGACACGATTGGCTAATTTGTAAAATCACGCGCACCGCGCGTGGAAACAAAAAGGAAACAAAGGGGGGACAGGAAGAGAAACATTGTTATTTAAAATTTAAAAACGAAAGAGATTTTCTACACCAAAACCAAAGTAATCACAACAGCCAATCAGAACGTCACAGGGAACCAATGAGAACACAGTAAAAACCAAGCAAACTGCCTGAAGCGCGGGAAAACGCGGGCGACCAACAGGCGATTGGTTTTAGTTGTGATCTGATTGGTTAAGAAGGTGGCGCGAGTTTTGTAGACCAATAAGAGAGCGATGTGAAGAAAAACCAACGCAATCCTGGATTACATATAACCTGACATACCTGATAGTAATAAAGTAAAACCCAACAGAGTCCTTCCACATAGGCGTGCGCCTGAAAGATTCAAAGTGACAACGGATACTTTCTAGACCTTAGTAAGTCGAACTAATGATTTTTTAAGCTCGTGAAAAAAAAAATCTTCCTTAAATTCCAATCGTAAGTCAGTTAATTTATGGTTTCCTCCTTCCATACAAAGTAACCTATTAGACTGACAATGATAGGAAATTTCCATAGTTCTACTAACATCATCCCAAGTCGTCTTAATTGACCCGCGGTCGCGCGAAATCCCATCATCCTTTACCGCATACTTTACAATCCCCAACCGCACGTCACTTAAAGAGGACAATAATAAACGACCCGGCTTGCTACACAAGCCATTTCAAAGAATACCAGTTCACCACAGGAAGAACTAAGCACTTCGATAAGTTTCCAAGACAATTTACCAGAAATTCCTAAACTTACGGAAACACTTTAAAAGGCAGAATGTGTTTGCTGAAAAGCGAGCCAGCCGAGTGCTTGTCAAATCCCTCAATATTTGCATGAACACAGGAACTTACCACTTTCTTCCTGAAGTCATCATAACCTTCATCGTCTTCAGACAGTTGAAATTTATTTTTGTAATAACGGCCTTTCCATCCTGCCTCCCATAACCTAAGAAAAAAGAATCAAACTCCACAGTTTTCCTTTAAAACAAACCGAATTCCAGACCTTGTCAGTAAGTCTATCATGTTGTACACACGTCAACATGTGACAGCGTTACGTGAACCCCGGGAATCGCTTTCCATAGTTCACAGGCGCTGGGACATTCCTATTGCCTCAAGGGACGGATTAAAATGGCAGATACCTACGGCGTTCAGTCTAATACACAATAACATCACCTAACAGGCGTTAAATCATTTAAGTAGATTATACCAATATGCGAGCGCGAGACTTCAAGTGCGCGAGAGAAGTGTTTACTCTCTCGCTGGCGTGTTATACGCGCTCCTGCCTATTAACCTCTGCGCTGATCATCTAGATGATGTATGAGAAAGTTTATTTACCGAATATCATCTTTAGGTTCCTCGTCTTCCTCTTCATGCTTTCTCTTGTTTGATGCTGGATTCGAGTTTGGCGTACTTGAAGAAGACTAATTTTGAAGGAAATTAGGCAAAGAACTAACCGTCAGACCATTTGATTAAAACACGCTAACTTTTAAGTCTATAAATGAAACTCTAATGTGAGACCATTCAAATAAAAGCTACTGAGCATCATGTGGTATTGTTTATATGGTGCTATGCAGAGTAATTCAAACTTTGTCTAACGATAAAACCCTGGCATGTGACCATTGATATGAAAGCTACTGAGCAGTGTTTTTACGTGATACTGTTTATATAAAGCTATGCAAGGTAGTTCAAGGTTTGTCTGAAGATAAAACCCTACTGAGTGACTAATGTAATGAAAGCAACTGAGTAGTACTTTCTTGTGTTATTGTAAATTATGCCATAGATGGTTCAAACTTGAAAGTCTGTTGATGAAACCCTGGTGCGTCGATGAAACCCTTATGAGCGACCATTCAAATGAAAGCTACTGAGCAGTACCTTCATATGGTACAGTTTACAGCGCCATGCAAGGTCGTTGTAGATGAAAGCGTGCGGTGAAAGATGGCTCTAACGTTTTTTTTTGTGTGGACATGAAACGATGAAAATTAAACAGACAATTTTGTGCGAGTTATGATTAGTTTGCCTCGCGATCTACTCACCGTATTAGCATCAGGAGATGGTGTTGCAAGCATGGCTCGAAGATTTGCTGCAGCACTCTACAAAACCAAATAAAGCATCTTAGTTAATAACTACTATCAGCATTAAAAGATTGAGCCCCAAGATAACTCACGCCTCCCTCTCAATCAATTAGATACAATACACCCCTGAACCAAACATTAAAGTTACGAGAATACATAAAATGATCAATAATTAAGGATTGTCATACAAATTCTCCTTGTCAGCACCTTAAGAAATGTATAGAGAACAGCATGGAGAATACACATACTGATCACTGAGTTACGTTCTTAGGTACTGCTGGGCAGCCAAGGAAACACGAAACACGCAAGGGGGGGAGAGGTGGGGGTAACCACAGATGAACACGCGTCCTATTTAAATGGAATGTCAATACTCGTGCTCGCTTAATACTAAACCAGGCTAAACTCTGACTGTGTGAGCCGCTCGCGTTAAGATTTTTACCTTATTAGCTGCTTCTGAACTGCCACCACTATAGGACATAGCTTGCTTTCGCATGGCGTAAGCCTCTTGTCGAGGAGAAACAACAGCTGAAGGTGTGTTAGTTATAGCATGAGGGCTAAATTGTCCACTTGGTGTCCAGAGAGGAGCATCCCGCTACGGAAAAAACCACACATTTTCGTTTCATTGCAAAATACATTATTTCTTGAGATGTAAGACAATTCACGATTTAATTACTTTTACTCTACTTCGCCAATTCATTGGAGTTTTCCCGCGCTTCCAAGAGACAAGTCGTTGGTTTTAACTTCGGTTTTTCCTAGCGATATTTTTTCTTGTTTTGATTGGATGTCTTGGAACAGTTTACAATTGAGTGTCTTAAAACCAAAACCCAAAGTAATCGCAACAGCCAATCATAACAAAGCTTTGCGTCATCATTGGCCAATGAGGACTCAAAGCAATACAGGCTGACTACGAAAAGAGCGGGAAAACGCGGGCGGCCAAGTCACGAGTGGTGTTCATTTGGCGTCTGATTGGTTTAGACATAGCTCAAGACCGGACCAAACACAGACCGATGTAAAACAAAACCAATGTCATCCTGGAATATTTACGACTCTCCGTTGAAAATTACTCTACATACTTCGTTTTTGTCTCAAGACGACTGATTGAAACCGCTCGCATACATATGCTAAAAATGTTTTAAGGTTGAAAATTTATGCTTCACCAGATTTAAACAGACAACAACAATCACGTGGGCAGAGATTTGTTCCGTCAACCAAACCACAAAAGCGATACTTACAGAAATATTCAACGCTGAATAAATGAGGTACATACCATCTTTTGTCGTTTTTCTCTCTCTTTATTTGCTTTCAAACGTCTTCTATATTGTAACTAGAGTAAAGAAAAAGACATTGAATAAAAGCTTGGCTAATAATTTGAGCATAAAATTTCCTCATCCACGCGTTTGATTTCCAACTAAATAAACAAAGGAGGTAGTCGCTGGTTGAAGACGGATACTAAAACAGTTTCACCACTGGTGTCCTGTTTTACTTCAAATTTTAATCTACCAGTTATTCTGCTGAGAACCAGTTAACTAAGAGAGATTTCTGTTACAAACTGCTGTACGCATATACCACAGAGCAAATCACCCTACTTAACATAAATTTAACGATAGATACCTACTTCGTTTTCCTGTCTTTTCTTAAAAATTTCGTCTTCCACATAACCAAGCTCTACAAAAATGAATAAAAAAGAGCTAAAAAATTTATAGTTTGGGCCACAACGAAGCACTATCTTACTACCAGAGTTGAGAAGTACACATGAAAAACTTTGCTTACCTTGAAGAATCATCTGTACTCTGCCAAGATCCACAATACCATGTTTAGCAAGGTAGCCCTGAAACGAGGAAACTAATTAGTGCAGAGAAGATGCGGGAGACTGGACCTACGGTTTATCGTCCATGTCCGACTAGAACATACATAATGTAGCAAAGGCAGCACATTCTCAGACGCAGCTATTTAAGACCCTGATTTAACCCTTTAAGTCCCAGAAGTGATTAACATGTAACCTCTCCCTATAGTATCCATAAATTATCCAGCAAACAGGTAGTGAGAATACTCAAACTTATCAGGTACAAGATATTATCTTGATTGAACACCAAATTCTCGTAACCAAGTTACATGGAGATGTGTAACAGCTAGAGGAGAGAATTAACAATCAGATCTTGGGAGTTTAAGGGTTAGGAACAGCATAATCCACCCTTCGAACAACTAAGCTAGGTATTTAAATCATGATGATGATAGCATTAAAAAAAATTGCTCCGCTGTCAATTGAGAAAGTAAAGTTAAATAAATTTTATCACAAGGATAGAAAAAGGCAGTTAAACCTTTAACTCCCTAGACCTGATTGACAATTCTCCCCTCTAGCTGCTACATATGTCCTTGTAAATCAGTAATGAGAATTTGGGGCTGGATCAAGACAACAAATTCTACCTGATGAGTTTGAATATTCTCATTAGCTGTTTGCTAGATAATGTAGAGATATTATAGGAAGAAGTTTCATGTTGATCACTTCTGGGAGTTTAAGGGTTAAAAATGATTTTTTCCTATCCATACCCCACATCTTGGTAGTACCCTCTTGTAAATTCCCACCAAACGGTCTATGGCTCCTTCTCTAGCAATGAAAGAAAAAAAATAGCAAAGTTAACTAAAACATTTTCAGCAACAAACTCTTCTTAAAAAGATCTGCCAAAGCATCTGTGCCAACAACAAGACCACCAATTCAAGTCCATAGTAAAAATTTACCTGATTTCTAGAGACGGTAAGTGAGGGAGGAAATCATTGCCTACAAAGAAGCACATGAATACCCAGTCATCAAGACAGCGCTGAGTGAAGGAACACAACAACGGATTAATACTTCGCGTTACCAAACTTTGACGAGCAGTTTTCAATTCAGTGTTGAAAGTAACCCGGAAGTTCTTTGGTTTTGCTTTACCTCGCTTTGTGATTGGTCCAGAAAACTCGCGCTCCTTTGTATAGGTGTACATGAGTTTTCTTGTAATTTGGTGTTAATAAGCATGAGTAAGTTTTTCAACTACGAATTGCACGAACCCGTAGGACGAGTGTAATTTGTAGTCTTTGAAAAATATATGTGCTTATTTACACCAAATTGCACGAGAAATCATGTTATTACTTGTTAATAATTTACATGAAAAACGCATCCCACAAAGTCAAGACGGACGAAATTTGGGCAGCGCGCGCGCGCTATTTGTAATTTGCACTCCTGTTACAACGTTGCGCTCGTGTTACGTGAAAATCGCACGAGTTTTCAGCCAACCAGACGGGCGTATTTTTTTTCATGTATATTATTACTGAACAAATCAGATTTATCGCGCCTTGGTGACTCGTGTTTTCACGGACTTCAGGCGCTTTGCTTTTTTTACTGACAACAATTCATTCACTGGCAGCTAGAGCGGATAATGACTTTTTCTTGGTTTAATTTTCAACATTTCTTTTCTCGTGATTTTGCTTGTCCATAAAAAACTGCGCCTGGTTCTCTGAAGATGACAAATTCATGCTCAGCTTAACTAACCTCAAAGCTATACGGGAAAGGAAGGCCTTCCATTCTCAATTCACGCTCGAGGTACTATAAAGCAAATTTGAAGCAAGTTAAAGTGAATAACGATTTTAATGAGCATAACTGCTTGTTTCAATGAACCCTTTCACTCCCGATTACCAATTTGCTATCACTAAAACTCATAACCATGCAATCACTGAAACCTTGTCATTTATGTTAAATTTTTTTCTTTATTCAAATAATATTTTATCTCACCTCCCGTAAAACGTTCAGCCTGATGAAAATAAACTCTACTTCTTGAGCTACAGGTGCAGGGAGCTCATCAAACTGTGTTAAAAACGTCAAACAACATAATGCATGTATTTGTTTTGATAATTTACACCCTAACATCAGTATGCACATCCTCCAAACTGTTTCTATACATTTCCTAAGGTGCTGACAGGGAGAATTTTGTTTAACAATCATGGACTACTCAGTTGCAGTCATAACGGTGAGACTGACATCCATGTCACCTACTGTGACAGTGTCTCCCTTATGTTCCTACAGTGTGCCCTGCTTAACCCTGTAACTCCCAAGATCTCATTAGCAATTCTCCTTACTTCTGCCATACAATTCATTTGATGTTAGTTTGGAGAATTTGGAATTGGATCAACCAATAACCCCCTAATTGATATTTTTCATCATTCTCATTACTTGTCTGCTTGATATTGTACTGATAGTGTGAGGAGAAATTCTGTCTTGGTCACCTAAAGGATTAAGTTGACATATATTTTAAAAAAACTCACCTCCCCTTGTTTTTCTTTTGGAAGACCCATACATTCATCCATAACATGGCCTGTGACCACAGAAAACGGGGTTAAAATTGAAACAAGACGATCCTTATTAAAAAAGTGCTTCAGATGGTACATAATGGAGGAGTGGTTTCAATTTAACTGACCGTTCAACACAGGTGTAAGATCATAAAATAAACTGGCTCTTTCAACTCAGTAAAAGGCGACTGCCACAACTTGATTGTGGTAAAAATAAAGATATTTTTATCAGGATGTCTCTGATCAGTGAATTTGGAATGGTGCTGTCTGTAGATGTTGTAGATTAAAAATCACATCTAAGGTAATAACAACAGGACTTAGAGAAACTCTCACCAACTTGGCCACACATCTCACAAGGTCTCTTCTGATTTGGTTTAAACTCTTCCCTGATGATTGTGAAGTGAAGCTCATGAGTGGCAAGTCCTGTACAAAAGAAGTGGAAAGGCAGAAATTTAACTCTCTGACTCCTTGAGGTGATTAGCATCCAATCTCTCCTTAAAATATCACAACTGAATCAATCATTCAGGTCATGAGAATCAAGGAAACAATCACCAGCAAAAGAAGCTAATTTAATTCTCCTTGTCAGCACCTCAGGAAATGTATAGAGAACAGTATGGAGAATATGCATACTGATGTTAGGGTGTGAAGAATTAACATAAGGAACTGGACATAGGCAATAAAAAAAGAAAGATTGTTAACTTGGTATCAATTCCAAATAATACTGGTATCTACCTGCTACAAGGTCCATACAAGAAATTGGCCAAAGAGGACCCAATATGTAACTCTAAATTTTGTCAAGAACTCAATTTGTCAACAATGGCACTCATAACAAAATGGGATTTCTTCATAATACTCACCCAGCATAATCAGATCAGCTGAAAGAAACCAAACAACTGTGTCAGCCCTAATTATCTGATATTATTAATTTAATGAAACGATAATTATGACTTGCATTTGACATGAACATACCGTCAGCGCCATTCAAACAGTGCTTTGTGTTTGGGTCATGATGTGGACTTGCTGAAACAAACAAAAAAGAGAAGCAAATGCAATTTCCACACCACTATGGTGAAGTTAGAGGTTTATCAAATGTCCTCATATTACAACAACTAATTAAGATACAAAAGGAAGAAAAAAAAGTCCTCCCGAAAATATCCAAACATCTCAGCTGGGTCAAAGAAATAGAGAAAATTCCAAATGAATACCAGAAATCACTTTATTTTCAAAGCCAATTTGTAACCAATTTGTAAGGTTTCTAATACTCCATGGTGGACTGGGACAGAAAAGGGTGCACTGCCCAGTGTTTGGCCACTTAACCCTTTAACTCCTAAGATCTGTTTGTTAATTCTCTCTTCTGACTACAACATATTTCCTTGCAAATCAGTTATGAGAAATTAGTGTTAGATTAAAATAACAACTATCTAGTAAATTTGAGTATTCTCATTAACTGTTTACTGGGTAATGTATTGACATTGTTGGGAGAAGTTACATGTTAATCACTTCTGGGAGTTAAAGAGTTAGGATGTGAAAATGGAAAAACAGAAAGAATGAGAAGAATGGCAGTCAGATGATGAAATGCTTTAGGTCAGGGCAGACATGAAAATATTTGACTCTTGGTCATGATGTTATGGCCTTGAGCCAAATCCTATCCTGTACAGCTCTCCAACTCATTCTATAGGTACATATGATCTTGGGAGTGAGAGGCAAATCTCACCTCTTTGCTTTCTGATGTAGTCCATAATCTTGTGCTCACCCTCTCCAGGAACATTAGCATCTGATAATATCACCTTAAAAAATTTATACATACTGTACATTAAATAATTCAAGATAATTCACACCTTAAACCCAAAAGAAACAACACTTAATCTCTGAGCTTTATTAGATACACCTGAGTAATAATGAAAGGGATAACTGCAGTTGTACTAATGGGATCTAAATTCTCCTTACAATTATACTACTACATCAATCATCAATCCTTGAATGGTAAAGGATTCCTTTGCTGGTCACCCTAGTGTTGTGCCAATTTTCCTTGACAGTTCTCTGATACCTTTTTTACTCTTACACTTGTGTAATCTCAATGATCATTCAGTGCACTTCTGCCATGCAGTTTAAATTATTTTAGTTCTGAGAAACTAGTTTTAAAGCATACAATAACCCTGCTTTAATACTTTCCTTTCTTTCTTACTCATCACTTGACTATTTAAAAATGTATTAATATCATTAAGAAAAATTCCTAAGTCACAGGAAGTCACTGGAAGAGAACAAAACTATCAAAACTTATATTGAGGTGCACTGTACTTACTTTTATATTCCTCCATCCAGGATCATTGTTTAATCTGTCAGCAATGTAGTATCTTAAACATATCGACAAATTGGCCATGAACTCTGTCCCCTGTAACAAAGAAAATTCACACTCAGAGGAATTTCTCAATCCATTACACATTTGAAATACATGATATAACAGTGAAGTCTAACATCAACCAGTTATAAACGATTGCCAATCTTCACTCAGGAACATAAATTATACACATCTAGTGAGCAAGTCCACCATCTCTGTTGTTCACTGAAATTATGAAAGAATTTAGAGCATAACAGAACAATTTACTCATTTATGTCCTAGCAGATCATAGAGTGAATCACACCACTGTAAACCATCTACTTTGGAATGATTTAACCCTTTCTTTCTTAGGATCTCATTCGTAATTCTCATTACTGTCTGCTATACAATTCTTATGATGTTAGTTTGGAGAATTTGGTATTGGATCAACTAATAATCCTTAATTGATATTTTTCTTCATTCTCATTACTTGTCTGCTTGGCATTGTATTAGTGTTGTTAGAAGAAATTCTGTCTTGGTCACACAGAGGAGTTAAAGGGTTAAATCTTTTTTTTCACAATCTTAGTGATTTCATGCACAGGTAAAAGGCATGATTTACAGATGTCATCCTTATAACATACAAAATATACCAATAACATCTGTTAATCCTTTCACTCCCAAGATTTCATTGTTAATTCTCCTCCACAAGTACACTTACTGGTGTAATACAGTTACTGTCAAAGTGTTCAGTTTTTTCTTTTTCTGGTGGTAAAAGAGCTCCTACAGAAGAAAGTAATAAAATCTGTTTAGTGTACAATTCCAAACTGCATGAAACTTGACCTGTCTGAGCATCTGGGAGGGGTAACTTTTCCATTTGGACTAGAAAAAATATGACCTTACTTGTTTGATCCTAAAACCATAGGCAATAATTTATTTTTTCACCCAACTTTGGACATGATACATTATTTCCAATTTTGATAAGTTCGTTGCCCATAGAAATAAGTAGCACTTACAGAAAGTAATATAAATTTAAGTGTCATTTTGAATACCTTTTTCCATCAATTCACTTCGAATTCTTGTCATTTCCTCTGCTTTTTCCCTAAAAAAGGTTAAAATTTAGCATTTCCTGCTATTATGTTTTCATCTGTAGTGTGCAAACATTTGCACTAATTGGGTTACTGTTTCATTACTAACTTGGTTTCTTTAGATGCTCTGAAACGACGAGATCTTTGCTGGTTCATTTTTGCCCTTGGAGCCTGCAATAGAAATGAAAAAATTAAAGACAAGCATGCGTAAATATTATCATAAATAAGCCAAAATAGAAAAAATGTATATTTTATAACAGATTGATAAATATACTGGCAAAGTGCCTCTTACCACTCCATCGATAGCCATGTAAAGCAACTTTCTGGGTCTAACTATTGAGAAGATTCTGAAAAAAAAAAAAAAGAAGAAGAAGAAATTGATTGTAGTGGGTAATGAATGTTAAATATAATTAAATGGAATATGCCATAGATAACAACTAAGAGCAAATATGGTCAGTAGCATTTTGAGGTGTATGATAAATGTCTTGGCTGGCTGTTAGCATTCATGCAGCATTTGTTGCATTCTGTAGCGTTTTGCGGCAGTACTGTGGTCGTTGGGACCTTGAGGCTGTCCTTATCCAGTGGTATACTTTATCAGTGCATATGTTGTTCTACCACGCGCTTGCATTGTAATCACTCTTCTATGGTGTAGTGTTGTTGTCCTTGCAGATTGAGGATCTTAGCATTTTGTCCCCCCCCCCCAACCCTAGCTGTAGGGTTTATTTCTATTTATTATTATTTTTTATTTATTGATTAATTTCTTTATTTATGTTTTCCTCCACTCAGCCATCTGGCTCTTGTGTGACAGTGCTCATAGGGGGCCTGGTTTAGGATGCTTGTGGTTGGATTGCAGGTTGGGTAGGCCAATCTGGTGTTCAAGCACCTAAGGGTGCTACTGTGGTTTCAGCCCCCAGGTCTCCAAAGCATGTAGCCTCCATTTGTGATGTAGGCATTAACCGAGACTAAAATCGTACAGAGTGTTCCCTTAGCAAGAGATGTGGTGGCCTAATGGTCAGTGCACTGGGCTTCTGTTCTAGAGGTCTAGGTTTGAGACCAGGTCATTTTGTTGTGTCCTTGGGTAAAACAGGTTATGTACACAGTGCATCTCTCCAACCACGAGTAAAAATAAACAAAAAAAAATTACCTGTCAATGTACTCAAAAATAGCCACCATCATCTCATCTTCATTCTTTGGGGCTGGCCTGGAAATAAATTATAAAATGTTTATTTCTTTTACTTAATGTATCCAAAAGGTACACCTACAGTACAGAGAGGGTTAACCAGTTAACCAGTTAACCAGGAAAGAAAGAGGAGGAGAAGTAATAAAACCATATAATACAACAGAGAAATCACATTAAGATTTGTTCCCATTTGCTCTATGCTCCCAAGGCAAGGATATACTCATGCAGAATAGGCACCCTTAGCTTAAATAACACAAATATAAAAATTGCTGCTTACTTGTTTTCAGGATGACAACAAGGATGAATGATTCCATTCATGTCCAGGTATAAGTTATCAAATTCATAGTCATTGGGGTTTGGTAAACTTGTGTCCACTGGGGCTCTAACTCCATCAACTTCTCGTCCCTAGGATGGTGAAAAACTAAGATAAATATTCATTATGCATACCAAAATTTCTGTGCTATGGTGCTATGCAATCATTTTTTCCTTCAGTGGATTAAGGGTTCGATTTTCTAAAGAAACTGTGGTCCTGCATTAGTGAAGGGGTATTACTAGATAATGTGGTTTTATAAACTGGGTTGGTAATGTTTATTAGCCACAGGAAATAGATTCTAAAACTGACATTTCAAGTATTAGCGTTTCATCAGAGCAAACGATGAAGGGGTAACCGTTGAAAAATCAGCTTTAGAAACTCTATTCAGTGGCCAATATACATTATCCTCAGTTGATAAAACCAAATTATTATTTTTCCTTTCCCTACCACTTTGATCAATAATAAAAATACGAAATTGGTCCTTTTAGAAGAGGCATAGAAGATACATGCACACTGTAACATAACCTAGTTCTTTAATAGCAATCCAATATAGAAACTTCTTAATTTAAGAAAATCGTTCATTAATGAACAAAAACCCCTGTGCTCAAGTTTTGATCCTTGATCAAGTCAGCTTTCTCACTTTCAGAAAGAGCTTTCACTATCTTAAGAGGACTGTTTCCGAGTCCGCGCGCTGAGAAGTCTCAATTTTAAAGTGTTTCTTTGACAAACAGTTGGCACTGATCTCTATTTAAACGGCCTTCCTACATTGATAATAGTAAATTAATACTTAATTTAATTGACTATCATAGCAACAGGGCAAAAAGACCGCAAAATACCGGCTCAAAAAGTAAATCTTAAACACGTGTAGCTGGACCAACAACAAGCTAAGCTATCAATCTTTCCATCGACTCACCTTTTCTTCTACACAGTGGACTACGATCGACGGGTACTTCTTTGATAGCCAGCGAAAAAATGCTGGAACTCCCATCCCCGCGTATTCGGTTGAGCAAATTGAAGTTAACTCAACGCTGAAATGTATAAAAGCCTACGTAGAAAGGTCATAGGCTTATTGGAGAAGATACTCAGGTTTCCTCAGCTGAGAAACTACACCTTATACATGACGTACTTACCCAACTACCAGGTGATATACCGCTGACAGGTTTATCTCGCAATGGTAAAACATAGGTAAGAAATGCGTGCAAATATCTTCAAGCCACATCGGGAGAAAAGTTCAAGTTCGTTGCTAAACAAAATATGCTTATTGAGGAGATAAGAATTCTCGAATTCATGACTTTTTTCTGACAAGATACACTTCAATAGTTAATTTTTCAAGCAACTTTGGGTGGTGATGCCTGCCGCGTTCCATTAGCTGTCCTCGTACGACTTTTTTGGTTATCTCGTATCAATACTCTCTAAAGCAACAAAAAAAAACCTCACAAAACAAAAATAAAATCAACAATCAAACAAATAAAGCTTTTCGTTCAGACCACGGATGCTTATAAAGCCAATAGTGAAGGGTGGAACAGAAACTTGCCGTTACTACGAAACAAAAAAACTTATTTGTTCTTTTCTTGTTTGTAAGAACCGTCTATTGATAAGAAAGTTTTTCATTGTGAAACTAAAAACAACAGAGAGTGAAGGCCTATGTAGTTAGATACCGGTACTCTTAAAGTTATCGGTCAAATGTTTATAAAGGATGGCGCAAACGGAGTCTCTGCCACTGGGTTCTCCACAGCAATGAAGCTGTGCCACTTTTCATCTTACCAATATCAATCCCAATTCATGGTAAAGTCTCATTATTGTGATGCTCGGAAATCTTGAAATCATTACATTTTGTTATGTACCAATGATTTTGTCATTAAAAGGCTGTTGCTGTGTAATGTTGAATTTTGTAGAAGTGATAATCAAAAACTCAACAGAGTTCCCTTGACTTTGTGTACCTATCCTCTTAAAAACAATAGTTAGTGGTGGATATTATTTGTTCTACTGAGCGACGATTCATTAATTTTGATCAGGATTCAGATACAAGTGAAGGGGAAGGGATCGGCGACAGAAAGGTAAAAGCTGTTTATGAAAGCCAATGATCGATCAGATGAAGAGAAGCTCCTACCAAAATCTAGTTTTAAGAATACTTTAATTTGTGAATTGTATATTTATCGCTTTCCCCATGGCAAGCTTTCAGAAGTTTGGATAATGTCCTCACTTCACTTTCGTTTCATCTATATTTACGTTAAAATTGAATAAATAATAATAATACTAGACGATTTCATATCAGCTATCTTTTATTTGCCAGTGTATGTGGAAATCGGGGTGTATGCATTAATTAAAAGCAGTTGCCCTATTCAGTAACTAGGCTTAATAATGATTTAAAGATATCTGCATCGTGCTCATAGAGTCTATACAAGCAATAAAAGATTGTAAACAAGGCTTATAACTGTAAAAAGTGCATGGTTTCCACGTAGTTTTATTTTTTGATTCCCGGCCCCCAGTGGATTCCTGATTTTGAGCAATTAGCGTGTGCATCCAGGGCTTCCTTGAACAGCTTCCATCCTTCTGTCTTCTTGAACTCCTCCTCACTGATTCCTTCTTCTTCTTCACTGGACTCTGATTCCTGCTGAACATACTAAAAATGTCGGGTTAACTTTGGTGTAAGAACCTGTGAAGTTTGTCTTTATTTTGTCACTATTATTTTCCTAGTCTCTATTGTTTTGACTTCGTTACGTCACTTGTGAGCGTAACAGGTTCTCATACCAAAGCTGAGCCAAAATATTGGAGCCAAATAATAGAGTCAAATGGGGCAGTTATGTAGGCTTACAGCCGACAGCGTTCATATGTTTTTGCCGAGCCAAGAACGGCAGCTGTAAGTCGGATTTCCTTTTCTCGTATGAAGATTAATTTTTCTTCCGTAGCGGCATGTTCTCCATGCAAAGACCAGGGCTTTCCAACTGATTGGAGATGGTTAAGAAGCACAAATTAAAATCAGTGCGGCATTAGACTTCCTGTAGCACGTTCGTGACTCAGGTAAAGAGTCCAAAAAAAAAGCCTGTACTTTTAATAGCTGTCTATTTTTCTATGACGCAGATATTTCTCTGAAACGGAGTAGATTTTTTGCGCTAGTGTAAATTAGATGGTAAGAACTATACACCATAGAAAGTGACGGTAATTTACTCTTTCTGAGATGCTAGACTTGTCTCCAAATCGAGCTTCGAAAGCTGAGCTCGGAGGGGGGAAATGCACAAAATGTGAGCCAAAACCGGACTGCGAAGGATTTCAGAAAGCCTAACTGAGGCATATCTTTACCTTAACTTTCTACTATTGCAAGCTCTGCAGGCCAGATGGCATTAGATTAGTATTCTACAGATTATCTTAGGTCAGTGTACCACAGAGTTTTTTCAGTAAAGTATTCAGATTTTTGCATCTTAGTAATCCTGGTTTCGTTGCAAGCTTCTTTTAGACCAGTTACTATAAAACAAACAGACATTCCCTTAATGGTCGCATTGCCAAAACAAATACCTTTTTGAGGAAAAAAAAAAACTCCTTGACAAACCTACTTTTCGGCATGACTGTCTATCCGTTCATTAGCTCACGGGGTAAAAAACTGAGTTACCCGGCGGATATTGCCAGAAATGTACTAGTGCTGAAAGAAATCAGCATCCCCCGGAGCTGGCACTTCTTTGTTAGACTGTGCACATCCGTCCCCCTTGGGACGGGGATATATGCACATGCCTTGTGCGCATGTTGCATTTCATCTCTCAATATATACCCACCTCAGAACCAAAGGTCACTTCCACATTTCTCTCCGTTCTTTTTCCATAAATTTTCTTCAGTTCTTCCTAGAATCATAAAAGTAATATGCAAGAGTTAATACCATGCATGAATTAGCATTGAAAGTACCTCCAGTGCAGTCCTCGTTTTGTAACATTTTTTTCCAAGCCTAAATTGTATTACAAGGAATAAAAATGCTTTGAGAGGATCTTGCTACGGAGAGAATTTCTGTCAAAGAGGCAACGGGTCCCGCCAGCGGAAAAAAAAACAACGCTGGTAAAAATGCTGGCAAAGCTTATCGTTACATTACCCCGCCTAGTGTGTAATCTCACTTTTTTTTTCCACGATCTAAAGGAGCTTGACATTCTGGTCAGATCTTCTGCTGGAATTATATTGATGTATTATTCCTTTGCTTTTGTTACAACAAATTTAAGGCCAGCGGTTTATCTATAAATTAGGCTTCAGTCCCCTCACGTCCGTATACATATATTGAAATTTTCGCACGAAAAGAACAGTAATGTTATGCAGTTTGTCGTGCTATGCTCGTTTCTTTGCTGCATCTCGTGTACTCATTCTATCCAAACCGTCAGGTACGTTTTACGTCGTCTTTTGCCGTTCGATGTTTCGCTTTGTGATCGTAATTATTTTTGTCGGTAGTTGGCTGTGGTGTAATTCAAGTTAATTATGTTTCAGAAAACCCCTGGTTACGAAAAAATTGTATGGTTCGTGTAACCGTTTTGAAATTTGCCGGTGCGTTCGCTACAACTTTTGTCATGAAAAAATACTCGGACCACTCAGCGTTTCTGGGAAACCAGAGTATATAGACTTGATAAAAATCGTCTCGATATGATGACTACCCATTACGGGCTCCTGTGACTACTCGATATGCCTCAAGGACGTGTCGTTGGTCCTTTCACAAACAAGTTTCGTTTTCCTAACCAGTTTGGTTTCACGAGTCGAACGAGTATGTATAGGATTTATCAGCAGTAAGGCTGAAGTGGTTGCTTTATTTTTGTAATAACCGAGCGGGAGCCTTGAACCTTTTGTCTCCACTGAAGAACACTAAGCGGGGTAACATACAGTATTAAATATTAGCGTAACTGTTTGTAACATGTATGTATAGAGCATACCTACAAATGTTTTTTTTTAAATTTCTACCTGTGTATGTGATTTAAGTTGCAACAGCGTACGGGAAGATTGTTTTTTTGAGTTCCAAGCCATGTCACCTCCTCCTGCTTCTTCATCTTTTTCTCTTTCGATACACCTCTTAGGCTTTTTCCTCTGCAATATCGTGAGATACAAGTAAAAAGTCATAAGAACTCAACTTGATCATGACAACGAAATGTTTCAGTTTATCTGACATCACATTTTGGTAACGTTTCCAAAACGCATATCGCCGGAGAAAAAAATAACATCTTGATTAATTAAATACCTCCCTCGCAGAGGCCCAATTAGGAAAACATCCCCCTAAAAATTTTTAGTTCAGGAAACATAGTAATTTTTCGGTCCTTCGTCTATAATAAAGGTAATAGTGATATTTATGGTTGTGCTACACACAAATTCTTAACGTCTGTACCATGAGACCTTTGCCTAATTTCCACCGGTATACTACGAAAAAATTTATTCTAATAAAACAAGTTAGAAGGAGCCTATCAATCTGTGTACCTTAGTGCCAACCGATTTTCAACTGTAAAGGAAAACGAAACTCAAATTTTATTTTCGTTTTTCGTTTTTCTCTGCAGTAAAAAAACGAAATAGGACTTCCATTTTCGTTTTTAATTTTTTCCCACTGGGAAGGAAACGGAATCCGAATTCACTTAATGCTCTCCGTTTTTCCAAGTCCAATTTCGTTTTTTTACTGCAAAGAAAAACGAAAAACGGCAATAAAATTTGAGTTTCATTTTCCTGTACGATTGAAAATCGGTCGGCACTAAGGTACACGGATTCCTACCGATGGTTGTTCTGTACGTCGAACATCGTTTGAAGTTCTATCCATGAATGTTAGTGTGGAGCTAACTATGTGTCCGTGATTAAAACTCCTGCTTAGTTTTTTTTATCAAAACCTTCGGTCCGAACCAAATTTCGAGTGGAATACTGATTGTTATCGTTTTGAGCTACCACAACAAACGTTTTTTAAAAAAATTTCCATTAAGTTTTAAAATTCGCCTTCGTTACTAAGGCATCTCTTCTATAAAAACATGACGTACCACCTATCAGGTAAAAGCTGGACGAAAGCTTATGCCTTTTATGGCTAAATATTGTGGCTATCTTTTATGTGATCTTATTTCTATAGTTTTGAATAATTTGAGAATAATAGCTGCAAGTA